ATTCTGAATTTGGTATTGGTTGAAAGTTGTTTTGAGTTCCGTACGTTCTTCAATTGAAGGAATGCTGTCCTTGCTTTGCCGATCCTAGCCTTTACGTCTGCATCTGAACCTCCTTGTTTATCGACGATGCTTCCCAGGTATGTGAAGGATTCCACATCTTCCAGAGTTTTGCCATCAAGAGTGATTGGACTGCTGTTCTCCGTGTTGTGTTTGAGGACCTTGGTTTTCCCTTTGTGTATGTTGAGACCTACTGATGCAGAGACTGCTGCTACTCTGGCTGTCTTTATCTGCATTTGTTCGTGTGTATGTGATAGGAGGGCTAGGTCATCTGCGAAGTCCAAGTCGTCTAATTGGTTCTGAGCTGTCCATCGTATGCCGTAGTTTCTCTCAGATGTCGAGGTCTTCATAATCCAGTCGACCACCAGAAGAAACAGGAAGGGAGAGAGTAGACAGCCTTGTCTTACTCCGGTCCTTACTTGGAATGCGTCTGTCAGCTTTCCTCCATGCACTACTTTGCACTGTAGTCCATCTTATGAGTTCCGGATAATGTTGACAATCTTCTCAGGAACTCCGTAGTGTCGAAGAAGTTTCCATAACGTCCTCCTATCTATACTGTCAAATGCCTTCTCATAATCAATGAAGTTGATGTAGAGTGACGAGTTCCACTCAATTGATTGTTCGACGATGATCCGTAGTGTCGCAATCTGGTCTGTGCACGACCGGTCCTTACGGAATCCAGCTTGTTGATCTCGAAGTTGAGCGTCAACTGCGTCTTTCATCCTGTTCAGTAACACTCTGTTGAAGACTTAACCCGGTATTGACAGTAGTGTAATGCCTCCGTAGTTTTCACACTTGCTCAGATCTCCTTTCTTTGGAATCTTGATGAGGTGTCCTTCTTTCCAATCCATCGGCACTTGTTCCTCCTCCCAAATCTTCTTGAATAGAAGATGAAGCATGCTTGTAGTTACTTCGATGTCTGACTTCAACGCTTCAGCTGGTATATTGTCAGGTCCTGCTGCTTTCCCGCTCTTGATTTGTCTGACGGCCATTCTGATTTCTTCTGTCGTTGGTGGATTGACATTTATAGGAAGATCTGTGTGTGCTGCTTCGATGTCCGGTGGATTCATTGGAGCCGGTCTGTTCAGGAGTTCCTCGAAGTACTCTGCCCATCTGTTGCGCTGTTGTTGAATCTCAGTAATTGGTCTTCCTTCTTTGTCTTTGACTGGTCTCTCTGGTTTACTGTATTTTCCTGCAAGCTTCTTCGTCGTATCGTAAAGCTGTCTCATATTTCCTTCTCTTGCAGCTTTTTCCGCCGTCGTTGCTAGTTCTTCCACGTATTTTTGCTTATCAGCTCTAATGCTCTTCTTCACTTTCTTGTTTGCTTCTATGTACTCTGCTTGTGCTTGGACTTTCTCTGCTCTTGTTCGACTGTTGTTAATTGCTGTCTTCTTGTTCTTTCTTTCTTTGATCCTGTCCAGTGTTTCTGTAGAGATCCATTCCTTGTGATGATGCTTCTTGGGGCCCAGAACCTCTTGACACGTTGAAGTTAATGTTTCTTTGATACCTTTCCAGCTATCCTCCATAGTAGTTTCTTCTTCGTTCAGTAGATCCTGTAAGGCTTGGAACCTGTTGTTGAGAGCTACCTTGAATTCATTGAGTTTGTCAGTATCTCGAAGGAAGGCTGTATTGAACCTTTGTGGTGCTGTTTGTCCAGTTGTCCAGTTCTTCTTTAGCTTCAGTTTCAATTTGGCCACAACCAGGTGATGATCTGAAGCTATGTCCGCTCCTCTCCTGGTTTTCACATCTTCCATTGTCCTTCGGAACTTTTTATTGATGCAAATGTGATCTATCTGGTTCTCTGTGGTGTGGTCCGGTGAGATCCACGTAGCTTTGTGTATACGTTTGTGTGGAAATGTTGTACCGCCGATGACCAATTTATTGAATGCACACAGATTTGCAAATCTTTCCCCGTTTTCGTTTCTCTCTCCCAGTCCATATCGTCCCATGATGTCTTCATATCCGGTGTTGTCCATTCCGACTTTGGCGTTTAGATCTCCCATCAGAATGGTGAGGTCCTTTCTTGGGCACTTCTCTATGATTGATTGCAGCCTCTCATAGAATTGATCCTTAACGTCGTCGTTGCTATCATTGGTGGGTGCATAACATTGGATAATGTTCATTGTGATCCCCTCCTTCTTTGTTTTGAATGATGCTTTGATGATTCTGGATCCGTGAGATTCCCATCCTACAAGTGCATTTCGTGCTACTTTGGATAGCATTAGAGCAACTCCCTGAGTGTATGGAGCATTTTCCTCTTCGTGACCGGAGTATAGCAGCATCTCTCCCGTATTTAGCCTTTGTTGTCCAGCTTGGGTCCAATGGGTTTCACTGATTCCCAGTACTGCCAAGTTGTATCTCCTCATTTCCGTTGCTATTTGACTGGTCTTCCCGGTCTCTCACATTGTCCGGACGTACCATGTACCTATAAAAATTGTTGCTCTGGTTGTTAGGAGGGGCATCGGCCTCGTGGCTTCCGAAGGAACTCGGCTTTCACCATGAAGCGTCATATTACCTCTAACTCCCAGGGCAGGGTTTAAATGGTTTGAGTTATTTTTTCTGGTTAGCGTTTTTTTAGCGAGTTAGGTTTCTACGGGATGGGGACGCTAACCCCATGCCCAACCCTCCTCCTTTACCCGGGCTTGGGACCGGCAGTAACTCTGGAAGAGCTACAGGCGGAGTTCCATAATAACTGGCAAAATAATATCAACTGAGTAGAGAACGCATATATTACTACTCGATTACCCAAAATATAAGCAAAGCAATCAAAGTAAACTTTTCAACATAAAACTGATAAATTACTATAAAATTTCTCGATAAACTATCGCATTCAAACTACATTAATTGGTTGATGGTTAAGATCATGAATTCGAAATTTCAGCAGATAGACTAGGGTTGTCATTTCAAATTATTCGTCTTAAATACATTGATAATATTTGAAATTAAATATCTATACGTACGTCGAGGTTGAGGTATTGAAGAAACCAGAAAAATCACATAATACTTTAAGTTTGTATCTGATATCCGATGCAACGGTCGGAAACCTGTGATCAGTGGATTTTGCATTAAAAACGTTCATTTCAAGTTTGTCGCCATCCGCGTATACATCTACACCTCTGAATACGTACATGAATTATATTTATATAGGCTCAATACATTCTTAACATCATCAGTTGTCTAATTATATTAGTTTCGTAGTTGAACCACTGTATTTCAACCGAGGTATAGTTAAACACGTTGTTTCATTAAAACTTCTGTGAGGAACATTAGACAAATAGTCGTCATTTTGAAATCGTCTTTTTACTACAATCAACACTTGTATCTTAAATAGCAGTCAACCAGTTTTGTTAGATTAAAGCTTAGAATATTTCATTTCAGATTATGATTGAAGTAAGTCCATCTACTGTAACGCTGCAGCCAGGTCAAAGAACAACTATCAATGTGAAATATATATTCCCACTGAACTCCACGTATCTGAAATCTGTAGTACAAATCAGTGGAACTGGAAGCAACAACACTAATGAATCTATAATAACTATTGCAGATTTTAAAATAACTTTGGGTTCGAACTTATTTTACACAACAACTGCTTACTCATCTAATTATTTGTCAACTTATCCAACCGATCGAAATGATCAGTTGGTAATATACTTCGAAAATATCACAAACATTGGTGAGTTTAGTGAAAAATTACAGTTCATCAGTTCATATATGACTATTTCTAGGGTATCTGTCATTACTTACACTAAAACAATTAAATATTATAGATATGTTTCTTAATTCATCAAATATCTTAAGTTTCACAGTTGTCAATTTGAGCAAGATATGTTCATTCTAGATGAGTTCATGCTTAACGGATAGTGTTATGCAACTTCTTTTGCAGATCGAATATTTTACCAGAATATTACTTTAGATGACATATGAGAATAGGTGTATGATATTTTACTTACCAGTTCAAGACTGAATTATCTTTACAACGAAAGTCTAGAATTTAAGTGGTATTCAATATTACTAGTGTAGTGAACAAACTCCATCGTTCCTTCATTGCTAATACAATTACTCTCTGTTTACATTCTCATTCCCTTCAATTCGATATTCTCAACCTTCTGCTATCAGTCATTCCACTTCTGATTGGTGTTACACACTACTTATGTCAACAGACATAAGTAGCATTCACCACACTAGTGTACAAGATCAAAGTTAGGCAAGAAAATATCTTTTAAAAATATGACTGAAACTCATGAATTAAAACAGTGAAATAAGTTGAAGTATTTTGGAATAAAACTTGACAAAAACACTATCAACAGCTTACTGCTTTCCTTGAAAATTTGATCTTCATTGCATCCAGTAATTTTCAATAGCCTACCTCACAGTCAAAAAAATCTGGCTTTTATCTGTTTGAACTAATTAACACTAGATAACCAGTAAACTAAATACTGTCCTTTATTTTCTCTCCAATCAGAAGAATGATGTTAGGCATTCATGGATATGGCTCAACTTTATATAAAAAAATTCATCTCAGCTGAAATAATCGAGTTACACACTACATGGCTGAACTTTACATTACAGTAACGAAGACAGCGAAATAAATTCTTTGTGTGTGTAAACAATGAAAATGTTCTACAATGAAGGTTATTAACAAACAGTAACCAAAATATTTCATGAAAATGCAAGCAGAATCATTGCCATTATGTGAAATGGAATAAAATAAATTGATTTGTTGTTTGTCACTATTTTTTAAATATTTTGTAACTAACTACTTGATTCACTATTTGACAGTATCGTTTTGAATTTTATTGTTCTCGATTAGCACCTAACCAATTTAGTCCTGATATTTAAAACACTAGCTGTTAATTCAGAGTGAATAAATGGTTCAGGGTCTTTTTCAATGCACTATCTAACAAAAATTATCGACATTTTTAGGTACGGTAAGTGTACCCCTAATGCGAAACACTCTCAGTCTTTCAGTGGATATCCAGTTGAGTGATAGTAAAATTGTAGAAAACGGGACTGTTTGGCCGTTGCAAATCACTGGTCGATTCAATGCTGTCACTAATATTAGCAAAATATCTGTGATTTGTGTAAGAACAGGGTCAGAAAAACCATCAATTCAGGTTGTACTATCTCAATTGTCATCGTTCACACTCAGTGATTATCCTGATAGGTATGTTTAAATCGTTTTAACCTTTAGTGTGTATTTATTTAATGGAATAATTGGCTCACTTCCAACGCGAATTCATTTTTCACTTGAATATCAGTTTCACATAAAACAATTATTATATTGATCAGATAGTGTCCAAATGAACATAATAATGTTCCATATCAACGATTAGGCTTATGACTACTCGCATGAAGAGTACAAACTTTGGTCTTGAACAAAGAGTTTGAAGATCTTTGTGCTATCCACCAAGCAATACAAATATCACGCCCGAATTCAAGTGACCGAATGAATTAGTTTCATTTATTTCATAAATTGGTTTCAAACCTCGTTATTAATGCATAACATTCAATGTTAATAATCTCGGTGTTGAATTTCCTTGAAAACCTAACTCATAACACCTTGAAACCAGACACACAACTCGTTTAGGCATCCATCAGATGAAACACAGTTTAAACATACAATAGGTATCTTAAACAGATGTGGCTGTTGAGTTGTAGTACAGATTACTCATTGGAGTTATAAATTTCAAATCTATAGGTCAAACACCGTCACTGCGTATCCTGTTTATCTCTAACAAGTCTCAGACACAAAGTCAGAAATATAAACTTGTACTAGACTCAAATAACGCATGTAGAAACGAAATCATATAATCCCACTAGCTGACTCATGATAAGTCAGTTTCCAAAATAGTGTCTATCTTTTCATTTATCAAACATGAGGAGCGTGGGTAAATACTGCACTGAGCTGTAAATTATAGCATTTTATTTCAGATAAGTGTCTGTGTTTAATAAGTGTGTTTTGAGGAAAACATTTGAGCCAGTATTTTTATTTTTCTAAAAAACTTGTTGTCAGTCTCGTGAACAGGAACATGACTAAGTATTTTCTATCCTGTCACTATGAAGTAAATCATAACTATTAAGCTTAAATCAGCTTCGCTAGTAAAAGTATTCAAAAACCGGCGACAATCTTATCTGAATTATCTTCCACTTATCTCAACACAAAACATTTTGACTTTTTTTAAATCTGTCGATATGTCGAAGACAATATTTAAGCATGGAAGGTGATATAGCTGTTTCTAAAGCCTCTCATCAAACCATTATTGCTTATTATTTATTACCGTTCACTTAAAAGTGAAAAAATGGAGTAATGAAGAAAGCAGAAATTTGACATTTTTCTCCGTGATACCTCCAACAGTTACCTAACTTGATTTAATTTCAACAAACTGACCTAATGTCATCATGTTTTCTGATGAACCAACTATGGTATATATTTCTGATACACAGTAAACAATCAGCTGAGAACATTTAACTGATGGAACTACCCACTCGTTTGCATCAACATCAAAAATAATTCTCTTCGAATTTAAGAAAAATAATTCATTATAACATTTTCAAGATTTCTGACAATACTGGACATAATATAATTAAGTTAGTAGTAAAAAAGTCGTATTGTTGTGCAAAATTCTAATAATTTCACCCTATCGGTGACACACACGTCTACGCTGTGCTTAAAACATCTACATACTGAAATGTAAGTAAATGCAAAGTTATAAATATTCTTGCTATTTCTCTGCTGATAGTAATCAGTTAATCCTAACAAAGTAGATTGGAAAGCTTGTAAAAGCAAACATCAAATCCAAATGCTATTTGAATTGAATCATCAAAATTCGAACCATGTTACTGATTGATATGAAATAACTCTCTACATATTATACATTTTGTTTAATCCAATACTCAGAGATGTGGTGTATCTTCAGACAACCGTCCAAATGATGAATGGTACCGGATTGGAATGTGAAAGACAATCGATAATTTTCTATCTCAGTCCACAAATAAAATCAATCAGTGTAGTTAATCAAACAGGGGACATAGATAATGTAACATTGAAAACTCCTTTAAACCCAGTAACTAAATCAGTTCAGTTCATAGTAAGTTTCTGTGTTTCAAGACATATTTTGAAAACAATGTTATTCAATTTAACTCACTGGAAATTTAGTCGAAGCATTTAAACGGATTGAATTGATTTTCTGATTGTAAATTAAATGCTCATTAACTAGTCTAAAACCGTTAACATAATCATATTATTTGAAGAAAAAATAACTGGTAATATTGAGAAATAGACATTTTGGCTTTCCAGGTTTAAGTGATCCATCTGATAATTGTACATAATGATCTAACAGAAACGAGTGATATCAAGTTTTATTTATTTATTTATTTATGGCTTTATTCAATATTATATTTTGGTACAATATAGAATTCTCAGCACAAAAATATTTCAACAAGTTTCTTTTACAGAAAAAAAATAACGGTTAATAGAAAAATTTTTCAAAAAAATTTGGAAAACTGTACAACTTTTCAATTAGAGTCATGTTAAGAATGCAGATTATTGACTAGGTTAACTCTAACAACCTGTTCGTCACAGAGTATATTTGCTAGGGGAGGTATTATAGAACGTTTATACTTTTGCTTGAGTGCTTGGATTTTAATGTAATTTCGTCTCATTCTACCAGAAGATATACAAGGAGAAAGATATGAGTGAAGGGGATGGTTAGTATCTGATAAAATAACACCAGCCAGGAGTTTGCATGACTTTAGATGTCTATCCACAACCATATTAATTATGATCTCGAAAGATTCACCACATACCTTGCTAACTGCCTTCAGCACTCTCCGCAGTACAGCAAAGTCTTTTCTCAAAAGCCGGGGAAAGAATAATGGAGAACAGTAAAGAATAATAGGTAGTATGCAAGAATTGACAAATTGTAGGAGTAAATGACGAATGATCCCAAGAGTATGCAATCTCCTAATGTAGTAAGTCAGACGGAAATCCTTCTTCGATAACAATGAAACGTGAGAAGACCAAGAGAGATCAGACGAAAAGGTAACACCAAGATAATTGACCGTCGACACTGTGTTTATCAATGAGTCGCCAATGGCACAAGCATTATGAGATCTCAAAATGGTGTTTAAATGCCGATCATGTCTCATGCTAAAGTTAACAGCCTGACATTTAGACGGATTAAGTATGAGACCATCAACAACAGACCAACTATCAATACGAGATAAAAACTCATTCACTTCTATAGGATGTAAAGAGGAAGAGATAGGCATACAAACAGTGAGATCATCTGCATATTTCACAAAAGTGTTTACTGTGGAAGATGGCAGATCATGCAGAAAAAAAGAGAAAAGAAGAGGGGAAAGAACAGCTCCTTGTGTTACACCTTCATAAGACACTAGAGACCCTGAACACTTTCTTCCAAACACTGTGTACTGTTCCCTTCCAGAGAGGTAGGAACATAGCCAGTTGGTTATCCAGCTGTCAGTGTTGACGCTGATTAACTTGTTAAGTAAACGTTGTCTTGATATAGAATCAAAAGCAGAAGTATAGTCCAGGAAAGTGCATCGAACATACTTCTTACCCTTTTCTAGGTTGAACACTATATTATGATGCATAACAGCAACAGCATCTAAGGTGCTTCTTTTGCATCTGTAAGCAAACTGATACTGGTCAATGTGCTCTTTTATCGCAGTCTGAAGTGAAAGTGTCAATAATTTTTCCATTGTTTTGAGGAATGGGGAAGTTATTGCAATGGGTCTGAATTTCACATTCTTATCACCAGATGCTTTCTTAGGTATGGGGATTATCTTCATCTTACTCAAAATTTTCGGTATGAGATTAGAAGAGAAGGATCTGTTAAACATAGTAGTGAATGAATAGCATAGGTCGTCAGCACACTTTTTAAAAAAGAGGTTTGGGATACCATCAGGTCCCAAACATCGGGATGAATTTAGTGACTGGAGACATTTTCGGACATCAGTTTCAGTGAAACTAGGAGCACAGCTATTTTTTAAACCCGTGAATAAAGGGAGCATCACATCTGATGACTGACGTAAAAAAGACTTATTTAAGTCACAAACATCCAGCTGGTTATCGCTCCTAATTTGTCTGTCACCTGTAAGTTCTTTAAAGAGTCTCCACATACTTGAAGAGTTTTTACAAGACAAGAGTGTTGAGACGAATAATCTCGAGGTTTATCAGACCATTTAGCTTACGAACTTCACTAGAGTTTTTCTCCTTGTACATTCTTTCTTTCACCCTCCGTAGTTGTTTTAGTTGTGAAGATCAAAACTCTAAAAAATGGTTTCAGTGGGACAACAAATATTAAAACGAAATTTAAGATAACAAGTGATAGCATCAGTAGTGTTTTCTAATCAGTCATCTGTAAATAATCTCCAATTAGTCAAACGAAACATGTTTTCCAGATTTTGGATATTTTCTTCTGAGTAATTCCTGTATTTGACTTTCTTTGTCTGATGTAAGAGTATACTCTTTACAAGGTTGCCATATACTTTAGGTAGAACACGAATAATACAATGATCAGAACTAGACAATGGAGCAAGTTTACGAGTTACATATGTTCCCACATCAATAATGAAAATTAAATGTACTACATTTTGGTGACCTAGTGACGTGAGGAAGCTACAGTCAAATGAATTCAAATCACCGCATACAGTTGTAAGTGAACCACTGACGGAAGTAACAGCGAATTCAGTGAACTCATCAGCAAAAACAGATAGAGCATTTGAATTGCAGTCTGGAATCACATCTGACATCCATATTACTTTTCCTAACAACTTATTCCAACAATTTCAACAAGAGATAAAAACTCAAGGTCCGTAGAATTGTCGTTAACTATTGGATGAGATTGTTATTCCATCATGGTTTTCAGTGACTTCACAATCACATACCTCTACAAGTTTTTAGTTCAGCGTAATGACCACGTTACACGTTACGGAGACATAATAATTAAAGTGAATTTACTCTCCGTGTCACATCTTGGAATTGTTTGTAATAAATAACTACAATAAGGAACAAGAATTAAGATGATGTACCAACATGTTAAAAGCACCCTTTATAATAGTGTGGTTAAAACTGACGAGTCCCAACAAGGTGAAACGCGCGTCCTGTCTCCCAATGTTAACCATCATCATCACTGCTTATAACTGATTACGGTTTGAAACTGAAAAAGAATAATTTAAGAAAGTAAAGAAAGATCAAAGCATACCACACAAGGGAATTAGAGCCAAGTAGAATAAGTGGGTGAAAGTGCATTTTTGCACGTAGAGTTCAAACTCGGATTTGTGGATTGCCAACGTCTCAGCAGTGAATAAGTTTTTGACTCAGCCTTCTTTCGATCCAGTTCGTTTGATTATTAAGTGTTCCTGTATCGGACTGGTAACTGTTTTGCATCCTCCCTTTACAAGCCAGGCCAGGTATTGTTCTGAGATGCGTTTAGAAAGCGGTCGCTTTATGCGGCCAATAAAACCTGCTCCACAGGAACAAGTACATTTATAGATGCACGTCGACATGGACAAAAGCGGAAGTTCATCCATATCACATCTGTGAATGGTAGGCCGGCTTGAGAAGACAAAACAGAGCTTATTCGAATAGGTTTTATCCAGGGATTTTGAAATGCGTATATTAAAGATTTCGGAAGACTTATCTCCTTTAAATTTGATATACTTAAAAAGAGTTTTCTTTTGAACTGTCGGTGCTGTTTTTAGGATGCCTCGATGTTAAGTTCCTATCTACTAATCTTGGTGGATAATCATTTCAGATGAATGTCTGTTAAAGTTCACGTAGTTCGTCATCTGCTTCATCATTAGAACATTCCCCTAGACATGAGGATAAAGAGTGAATCAAGTTTCTTTTTCCACTCAATAGGATCCAACTATGGAAATTCGTATACCAACCATTCCAGGTCAATTTTTGTATATAGATCTGTGCAAAGAACCATATGAAATTCTTTTCAACGGGACATCAAGAAAATGAAATTCCTCATTCGCCTCTGTTTCCAACGTGAATTAAATTGAGTTATGACAACTATTGAACCAATCCGAAATTTCATTGGGGTCCATTTTTCTTCACATATCATGAAAGTATGTGGTAATCTGAAGTATTCGAATTTATGTGCTAACTAAGAACTCCTGAAATAGTGCAATTTAACTCAAGTCGAACAGGCTGAGCCAAGGGAACACACTAGATTTGGGATTCGTGATCAGATCGCAATCGAGTACAAAGCAATCATTAGTTTGTACCAATACCACAACCACCACAGCTTAAATGGGAATCTAAATATGTGTAATCGATTGCACTTTTCCTCCAGTTCATCATGTGCCTATCTGATTGTGTATTGAATGAGGATTCTGCATGATCTAGGATGTGCTTATTAGTATTACAATTAAAAATCACCCTCACATTGAAGGTACATTGTAGAGATAGCTCTTTTGATAATGTTTTAGGAGACTAATATCAATGTTGTTATTTCAATATCGTCACATAAAAACCACATAGTTTCTGTGAGTGGAACATATGTAAAGAGAGAACTGACATGCAATGAGATCATTTCTCCACCACTTACAATGATGTTTCTGAATCGACAAAATCAAACAAATCATCAGCGTCGTATCTATTGATGTGATTTCTGACGTATTGTGAAATTTCAGCAAACCATTTAGCAAACAAATGATACGGAGTGTTATTCATATCAAGTATGGAACATAGGAAAATGTTCTTCTTCTGAACTTTTGGAAGTACGTATGGTCTCTGTATAGTGGAACATGATGGTCTAAGATGTTCATAGAGGTCACAATTGATAATAAACTCGTCTTCCATCTCCCTCAGGAATTTACTTAACATCTGTTGCGTTTTCTCAGTAGCGTCATGGGGAATTTGGTGATATAGTGCTGAAAATCCATAAGGACAATTCCTGCAACCTTATCTGGGTGGCACAGCACTAAATCTTGGTTTTTCGGAAGACGAAATAATTGAGACTTATGTTCTTTATGGGGGTGGTCGTCTAGTTATAGGTATCGTGATTACATATTGAGTTCATTAGTAATAGTTGACGTACTACAAAATTGAGGACCAAGTAATAATGCATGTAACTGAATAGTCGACAATGTTATACACAACTGCATTTGATATTTAGAATCTCGAATCACTTTATGATGCAATCTTTTCTATCCTTCTATAGACATATATTTGCAACATAACTATTAATACGAATGTGTAGTTTGAGTAAATGATTTGGTGGAAAGGAAAATTTATTTCGCTAAATCCTTTTTATATGTGAATTCTTTCCATCTTATTGATTTCTACTCCTGATTCACAGGGTGTTACTGTTTACAATTGTATCGAATGAGGTATTATCTAGTGTTATTCTGGTTTCCTATTCTGCGTCGTCAATCCTGGTTCTGGTGTAGTGTGGCTAGTTATATTATTGTAGTATACATGAGAGAGAAAAGAACATTTTAAACGATCCATTATATCAGCAAAGTTGGATGGTGACTAGCAGTGCAGTCGAGGACGAGTCCCAAATAGGACGAAACGCGCGTCTTGGATTTCACTGCTAGCCACCATCCACCTCTGATTATAATGCTTGTGACTTAAGGCAATATCGAAACTATCCTCACAGGATGTACGCATGTCAATAAGAGACTGATCAAGTGCAGTCCTAAACTACAATGGAAAGATTCAAAAAAATAATCCAAAATGAATTAATCCGTTATATCAGTTAAGACGGAGTGAAATTATAGTAAACGTCTTCTGTAGAAATCATTTTATAACACAATATAATCACTTTAATTCATTATAATGAAACATTGCTATATTAACTCACCAACCAATTACTACTTGTTTCCATCAGGTATATTACAACGTTTTAGCGATCAACTTGTACTTGGTCAACATCAGCATTCTCCTATGAATATGTTAGTGATGCGCATCACGACATACCGGATGGAAAACACAAACTCGTTGAAATCTAATGCTTGAAATAAAATTTACAATCAAAATTACATTCTTCTACATAGCACTCCACTCAGTAAATGAACTAGAAGGTACTAGGAAATGCTGTATACGTCATAGTTATTGAACATTAAATACGTAAAGGATAACTTCCATACATTCGGTCTGTTAACCAAATACAAAATGATCTAGCGAACGTTCAGTCAACTGAATCGTAAAGTTTCTATTATCCATAAATGGTTTGTAATCTTCGTTCCGCAATATCACTAAAGTATTCTAAGGACACTTCATGATTTGATTTGATTTGATTTGATTTCATTGATTAACCGCATCGCTACATAAAACTAATATTTCTTCTACCACTTTCTAGGTCATAGTCAAACATTTTCGATTTCAAATTTCGATTTTAAAATTGAAATATCACTCTGGAATACCTTTCTAAAACAAAGGTTGTATCTGTGTAGGTATTACAGGAGACAGATAAAACACCTCACTTCCATGTTTCATATCTGTTTACCATTAATTGTTGCATATAGTTCCGACTCGAGGGAAATCTATTTAACCACTACGGTCATTTCAAATTTTAAGTTTCTACTGTGAAATATTTTCAGTATTTCTCGTCAAACATCCAAACTCATTCAAATCCGTCGAAACATTACTTCATTTACTGAACCGAGAGCACGAGATCGATCTGATATCTGCATTCACTGTCGTTTACAGTACTAATGAAACTTTCAAAGTTTGTACAATTCCGTTGACCAAACATAGAGGAGGTAAATTACAATAGATTTTTACGCCCACGTTAGTCATCATTTGAAATCGCCTCATATTACAAAATGAAACATCAATTTCAAACATATATCAACTCTTGCTCTGGAACAACACTTGAGGATATTTTTTCTCGTTTCAGGCTGGACGTTTATATTTTGGTGCGAAGTATGCAGTCATCTTTAGTCTGAAATTTAATCCATCTCTTAGCACAACCATTGTGAAATATCCAGTTCTGGTCGAAATTGTGTGCAAACCCTATGAACGTGGTAGTCCCGTAGTGAATAGCTGCGCAAGACAGAAGTTTTACAGGTTCAAATCTCATCTGCGTGTTGAACTTGACTACACTTGTGAGTTCTATCAGTGTATGATTTTCCAAATTCATCTTATGATTAGAAATCAACACTACCTACCAAGGTATGACTGCATTATAGGAAATAAGTTTACTCTGCATGTCGGATACGTTATCTTAAATGAAAAATGTCTTCTGCAGATAAATCGCTTTCTACTTATCATCGTTAACATTTCCGCTGTTGTGAAAACGATTTCAATCTCTGCATTGCATACGAGTTATCATACTGTCACCAAGTATTCACACATACAAATACAACTTTGCAAGCCATCATAATTTACTGAATTTTTCTCATGCTACTGAAATCATAATCATTCTCAAAATGTGAGGTGCTTGTTAATTGCTTTCAGCGAAAAGATGAGTTAGTCCGCATATAGAGTTATCAATCATTTGGAGGCTTTCCATATTGATAGTTCATTACATTATACAAAACTGCTAGTAAAGTACAATCACAAAGAAAAGATGAAAAGAATAACACTCATCTTCCTGTTGAGAAGCATCAACTAAATATGTTTACACTGTAACTACATACAGTTCTCTTACACTCACCTATTAAAATGATCCCGAATATTATCAACCATAACGATATAGAATGTTTGTCATTGGTCACTTATCTACAATCACATCACATTACTGTGAAAGAATTCTCTATCCTTTTATTGATTTTTGGGATAATTAAAATAATTCTCAGTGACTGTGTGATGCGTTATTTAATAACACTTTGCCTTGTATTGACCGTTTGCATTCAGATCCGTCCAACTTACCTCATTACGTTGCAATGCGGAACTCTCTGGTACAGTTGCCCGACCGTCAAGCAAACACATTTCTAAATGTTGGTGATCTTTTGTTTTATTGTGCCCGTGCGTTTAGCATAAAAGGTTCATTAGATTTGGTGAGACGTTGTTTCAAGATTAGTAAATTGCCTGAAAGAATTTGGTTTGGTAAGTAATCATACACAATCTGTTGTGTTTTATTATTCAACAGTGGATATTTGAAGTTTAATACTACATACTTACGCTTGTTACACCTAGTGTAGGAGAACAGGCCACCAACTAGCATTCTCCATACAACTCTTTCCTGGACAATCCTTCCCAACAGTTTCTAATTGCTATTCATCCTTTTCATCTTTGCTTCCAATTCCCAACATAATATGTTATTCCGCCTTCCACTTTCCCTCTTCCCCTCAGGATTCCAAATTACAGATTGCCTCGTGATGCAGTCTGATGATTTCCTCAATCACTGTACTATCCACTTCCATCATCGTTTCATAATTTCCTCTTCGATTGAAAATTGGTTTGTTCTCTTCCACAGTAAGTTGTTGCTGATTATATCCAGCTAACAGAAATTGAGTATCTCTCGTAGGAAACTGTTTATAAATACTTGTGTCTTTGTGATGATGGCTGTAGTAGTTCTTCAAGTTTCAGCTCCGTACAATAGAACTAACTGTATTGACATTTGCATGGAAGATTATGTCTTTGATATTGGTTGAGAGTTGTTTTGAGTTGTATATGTTCTTCAATTATAGGAATGTCATCCTTGTTTTGCCAATCCTCACCTTTACATCTGCATTCGATACTCCTTGTTCATCGAAGATACACCACAGGTACGTGAAAGTTTCCACCACCTCCAGACCTTCTTTTCATCAAGTGCGATTGGGCTGGTGTTCTCTGTGTTGTGTTTGGGGATCTTGGTTTTTCCCTTGTGTATGTTGAAGCCTACTAATGCAGAGGCTGCAGCAACACTGGCTGTTTTCATCTGCATTTATTGATGTGTATGTGATAGAAGAGTTAGGTCATGTGTGAAGCACAAATCGTCTAGTTGCATGCAAACTGTCCATTATATTCCGTGCTTCCCCTCAGATGTCGAGGTGATCATAATCTAGTCAACCACCAGAAGAAAGAGGAAGGGGAGAGTATGCATCAATGTCTGACTCCGGTCCTCACTTCTGATGCATCTGTCAGTTGTCATACGTGAACCAATTCGCACTATAGTCCGTCGCATGATTGCCATGTGATATTGACAATCTTGTCAGGTTAACCATAGAGTCAATAATGTTTCCATATGGTTCTACTATCCGCACTATCATACGACTTCTCATAGTCACGAAAGGTGATTTGGTTTGTGCACGACCGATCCTTACGGAATCCAGTCTGTTGATCTCGAAGTTGGACGTCTACTGAGTCTTTCATCCGTTTCAGCAACACACTGTTGAAAACATTCAGTCACCCGAATCGCAAAGTTAATTGGATGTTTATTAAAGTTATCGTTTATTTTAATTACAAACAATACAATCCTCAATTTTATAAAACCACAGAAATTCCAATAACAAGTAAACATATGTTTAAATCAATACTGAATATACTCCAATGCAAACCGATTTAGTCCAACTGTAGAGAACGAGAACACCAGTGGGCACAATCAAATGCATTACAATACAAAATTACAGAATGTCATAGTAAAATCTGAAAACCATGAAATAAACACTTCATTTGCAAAATGTCAATCAATCGTCTCATACTTGATTGTTCCTTCGTTTCCATAACAATCATTCCCCACTCTTGTTATCTTTTCTTCGATCTTAAATCTCTACCACCAGACATTTCACTTTCGATTGATGACACATGCTATTTACATCTGTCGACTTCAGTAGTCCACACCACATAACTAAGATCTAGATTAATCGACAAACATAATAATTTCTACAGAATAATCAACGTTTTGATATTCAGAGTTTACTACTTTGTAACAGGAAAGTATCAAGTACCACCTCTGTTCGATTCTACTTATTGGCCTATTTTTATCACATTCATGATGTGCTAACCAACTTTAGTCGATTGATACTAGATTGTGAATTAATAGAATAACGATTATTCAAAATGATCATTCATGAATCTGTTGACTTAACATCTAAGTCAGTTTAAAAGACATAATGTAGAAAATCAAACATCATCATAACTAAGGAAAACAAATGTTTTACATTAAAGTCCAACACCACAAGCTGATTATGGCAGACTTTGTACTTGGAAAAAGGATTTACAGTTCATTCTCTTCATACTTTATTTTAAATTATACATGACCACTTGAACTGACACATATTGTCATAAGAGAATTTGTTGTTAGTCTAGGACAAATAAAGTATGTTAATAAGTCATAACTAAAAGCGTTTAGTATTTTAGAATGATCGTTGTGCAGATTCATATAAATACATAGTTACAAAGAACGTTTGCTCATCGAAAATGTTGTTGAGGCTTATTTTGACAAAATAATGTCATAAATATATGTCGACCGATTTCTGTTCGATTCTCAGATGTCGGACCATTTGTTGAACAGATTATAGCATACACAAATCCACTTGGCATATTGTTCGGTTTGGGAGCAAATGGTGGAGGTGTAATAATGAGTAAGGATTTGGGAAGAACATGGATATCAATCAACCCATTCATGTATCAAAGAACTTTGAACACGTCAACTGAAATCATCACAGCAAGTGTCATACCATGGATTTCATTGACTGGTTCAATTGACAATACATTGTTTGAGTCATTTTGCAAGATGCGAGTGGCTGAACAATGGAATGGTAAGTAATGTATAGTAGTAACCAGATTTTCAAACATGATTTCTGTTATCCCACGTGAAAGTGTGCATCAAAACCTAAGAGTACGCAGTATTTCTTCAAGGTTGAGAGTCATGACATTCCAACTGAACACATATCTCTTGTGATATGCACTAGATAACAATAACATTATGTGTGATGTTTAATTCTAAGATAGTTTCTTTTCCTGTGAGTGAATGATCTGTTATTCACACGGTTGTCGTTAAATAGTAACTTTATTAGTTCTTGATAGAGCATAACTTAGTCGTTGTCATTTAATGCTCAAATGAAGATGTCAACACTTTATTGATATTATTTTACTGAGGTGCACACAGATAAACTACAAAATTTTAGTCTGAATTGGTTTATTTCTATTGACTGATCCCACCGTTTGCATGGTTATAAGGTTTTACTCATTGTATACTAATTTGACCTCGTTCTACTATCTAGTATTGTTTAAATAAGAGAGATTATTATTGAAAGTATTAGAGCGGATTGTCAGATTTCTGTTACATATATGTTTGGTTATACCGTGGATACAACACGCATTCGTGAATACATCGAAGTTTGTTTATAGTTCTATTATTAACATTCAAAATATGTCTATTAAGAATGATACTTGATTTGAAGTTTGAAAAGTGAGTTTATCGACTGATTGACCACCGTTCGATCTTGTTTGTTTTCATATACATCTCCTATAGTATGCATTAACGCAATTTATGCAAATGAACTTCTAATGGCAAACTGGACTAACACCTGTCCAAACATCAAACCCTTTTAACCGATCAATTACTTTCAGTCGGGATACAAACTTTGTTCAAATATTTGTGCCTTTTTAATGTGTTCATTTTATGTTGTGTGTAATAATGGAACATTTAGTTAATTTTCTATTCCACTACTTATCCTGCAATTAACATTTTTTAAATAAAGTACATATTAGTCACATTTGCATCACATTCTGACCTAATGAAGAGTCGCTTAAGTAGGAATTTAACAGACTGTTGGTTGTTATTTAACTATTTTGTTGTGTAAGAACAGGATTCTTGTAAATTGCAGCATCAGTAATGTGTCAACATTTAGTTTCAAGAAGTTTGTTAATTTGTTTGATAATTACACTATAAGTGGTGACCATCGAACTATGACCCTTACTTTAGTGGAGGATAAATTAGATTTCCAACACATACTGGAGTCATCTGAAGCATAAGAATAATATTGAAAATTTTCCTCCTTCCTCACACAAAAAAAAAAAGTAATAGGAAGTCAACTGGATATATTGTCTCAGACATTTCGTTACTACATATCAATCTGTTCAGTAGCCGATGAACTTTACTCAATTATAAATCCAGCATTCTTCCAATTGAAAGAAGATAAACGTTATTACGAACATTGGTTTTATTTTTTACATCTCTCTACTAATCAGTTGATAACAATCTGTATCGCGCTACAGTGACAAATCTTCTTCAATTTCGCATCTATCTGTGATACCACCAAGTTATTTGGCTGACGACTACGAGAGGTGAATTCGTTGAAAATTTACTATTTTAGAGAAATAAATATGCGTTTAATTTCTGGATACCCTGATGACACACAAAACCATGAAGTGAGCTCTGTGTTCCATAGTGCAGTGACTTTTACTGAGAAACGGCATTTCCAACTAGTTCAACAACTTCTATGATAAACGAATTTAGACAAATTATTTGTATACTCTCAATAAATAATGGAAAATTTATATAGTTTAAAGGTACATATATCAATAAACCTCATTATGACATCGATAGGTTAAGAAATTTATGGAAGACCGTTTTTAATTTAGTTCTTCATAGATAAAAAGCAGTAAAACAAGTGGTAATTGTAGCGTACAGAATTTTCCAACTGCTATAGCTAAGCACAAACAGAAATCAGTTTAAATTACTTGGATTAGTATTTATCAAAGATCACATTCATTTCAAACAAGTTGTATGATTGCTTTATGCCCTCTAACTTGGACAAACCAGTCGAAATTTGTTCTACGACACTCTTGTATTTTATTTGGAACACTATTTACTAAAGCTGCATAAGCACTACATTCTGCCGTAAAACTATCGATTACCGAAAGTGTTATAGCGTATATTTGCAGTTTTTCCTTGGATCTAAGCTCACTCGGTTCCAAATGTTATATGTGTTAATCTCTTCACCGTACAATGAAGCATTCATAACAAAGTGGTTGCTTGAATCAGTGTTCACGAGGAACTGACTTACTAATGAATTTAAATTTAATACCGTGTGCCATATGTTTTGCTTAATAAGCAGTTAAATTGTAAGAGTGATCTTTTAAAAATATGCTTTTATCTCTATCCATGTCACTGATATTTATATAGCATATCTACCTGATGCATCAGGCTATCTGCCAAAAATTACTACAATGGTAGCCACTATTGATAGGAAATCGTGGCAAACTATGTTGCAAGTATCAAACTAAAATGTAGTACCTAATAGATTACTTCATGCAACAGAATAAACTATCGACAAGTTCTTCAAAACCAAAACACATGGTACATCAAAGTTAAAGTAAATCGTAAAATGACTATTACAAAAGTATTTTAATTCACATCATGCACTAAATAACTTTTAGAACTCCTAGCATATTAACAATACCAAGATACCGTTCTACTGATAATGTAACAACTTACATTCACATCAAAAAAGCAATCTAAATGAAAAGGATTACATATTTATTCGTTTTGAGATGCCCTTTAACTTGGACAAACCACTGGAAATTTATTCTAACGGACTCTCATATTTTATTTGGAACAATATTTACTAAAGCTCCATAGACACAATTCAGTGTAACAAACTACATTCTGCCGTTAAACTATCGATTACCGAAAGTGTTATAGCGTATATTTGCAGTTTTTCCTTGGATCTAAGTTCACTTGCTTCCTCTCGAGGTGTTTAACTTCCGTTGTATTAACTGACGACACGGTATATAAACACTATCCTTGTTTAACATGGTTGCTCTGCGTAACATAATTTCTTAATTACTACATTCTTCATTTGACCGATGAAAGAACCTGGAGTTATTTCATGGTGAAAAATACTGTAACTGTATATTGCGCTCAATATGATCTCTAAAGTTTTGCAACAAACAATGTTGTATGTGTTACATCTCTTCACCCTTTAGTAAAATATTCATATTAAAGTGATTGATGTATCGAGCTAACATTGCTCAATGAATAGTGATTGTTAATTGTGAAGTTCATGTCTAACAAATGTTATAAAATTAATGAAAAAACGCTTCATATAAAATGTATAATAAAGATATAACCATAGTTTATGTTACATATAACATGTAGCAACTATGTATGGAAATACAATTAGACATGTATTATCAGTGGAAACTCGTCCGTAATTATACAAAGCGTAGTAAAATATGGAAGAATGAATTCCTGATCTATATATTATAGTCATCTCCTATTCTTCTTTAACCCAGTGATCACTATGCAAACTCCTTTTGATATTTGAAATCTCCGATCATTACATGAAACAATGAATTTTATTGGTAATGAAGAAGTATTCCTATTTATCAAGCAGACACACAACTGAATGTCACACTTCGAATTCATTGAAGTCTTTATTTTAATCTTAGTAAGAAGGTGTTCGAGTAAATTATACATGAAGCTCAATATCTGATTGAACTTCTAATCAAAGTGCACAGAATGAAAATTCTCTATTAGCCGTTATCTCATTGTAATGAAGGATCTATGATGTCTGTATGA